GCAGGGCCCCCTCCCATCCCATCCCAGCCTGTAAGGGGATAATTCAGGAACCAGCAGCCCGAGGGCACCATCTAGTGAACAGCCGGGACTGCAAAAACCTGAAATGGGCAGAAATTGAGTGAAAATTGGAACTAGGGGCTCCCCGGGGGTCAGTTCAGGGAATTGAGGAGTCACGCTTTGTGCTTTTCCTCTACTCCTGTTATTTTTTTCATTTTTCCACCAGGTTCCCCCAGAGAAGAGCCTTCACCGCACTGCACCCTTTGTGGCAGGGATATTGGCTTGGAGCACACCACACCTGCTGCTCGACCCTGGCTAGTGGCTTTGGAAAGATGATGGCATTATGTTTTCTTGTTTGATGGGGAAAAAAGAAGGGTTATTTCTAATGCTTTGTGAGGGGATGCAGGTGTGCAGGAGTGGAGTGGGGGAGGCAGCTCTGTTGTGGGGCAGGTCTGAGCTGGAGGCATGGGCTGTTCTTTCAGCTGAGGTGAAACCACCCTCTAAAAAGAAAATTTAAAATGCACCACAGGTGCTCCAACATCTCCCCACCATCGCCAGAGTGAGCTGAGGGGGAAAAGGAGAAGCTGAAAGACCACAGGTTTGGTGCACAGCTTCAAGGTCCCTGAAATGATGCAGCAAGTGGGGAGGAAGGAAACCCCACACCACACTCCTGCTGTCCCCAGTGCCAGTGGCTGAGCTGGTTGTCTCCCCACATCGCCTTACTGGGAACTGCACACCTTGCCAGGAGAAAGCTGTCCTGTCACTTGCTGTTTCCCAAGGAAGATGGGTTTCTGCAGCCCAAAAGTGATTCTCCTTTTTATTATCTATTGCCATTGTTGCCAGCCTGACTCCTGCACTGTGTCCCTGCTCCCAGTGATTGCAGGGCCAGCCCCAGTCCTCTCATCCATGAGATCAGTGGTTATTTTGTTATCTGGCTTTCAGAGAGGCTGTGATTAAGGCAGGGGCTTATGCTCATGCATTCAACCTCACTGTCCTTGGAGCTGAGAGAGTCCCAGGGCAGGAACAAGGAAAGGTGACATCCCCAAGCAAGACCACAGCAGTGACCAACCCCTCAGCTCCTCCTTTTCCTGGCAGTGCTGGGGAACACCCCACATTCCCCTAGTGCTGCACCCCATAAATCCCTCCTGATCTAAAGGTGGCACCTTCTTCAGCTCATGGTCCCCATGACCTGCTGGCATCCAGCCCCCGGTGAGTGGGGGTGCCTGTGGTGGGGTGAGCCATTCTGGGGGTGGCTGCCAGCACAGAGAACGGAGGGGGGCTATCCCTGGGGGCTTCTTTGTGTTTTGCTGCAGCAATCCTTGCCAGGCACCCAAAGGATTTGTGGAGCAGGCACTGAGGGGTACAGGGGTACTCAGGTCAGGCCACCCCACCTGTCCAGCTCACCCTTTGGGGGCAGCTCCCAGGGGAGGACGGAGCTGCTGGGAATTGTGCCTTTCCCTCTCGTATGCACACAGTCACGATGGTTAGCTAAGTGGGTTGTTTTTCATTAGGAGAAGACTGTTGCTAGGCCACCCTGTTCCCCGGCGTTGGTCGGGAAGGGGTTTTGCAGCCAATCCGGGAGGCTGTGCTGGGGTTTGCACACGCACACATCACGCACACCTCTCCTGCAGCCCAGGTGCTAAGCGGCTGCCAGATGTGCCTATTCATTTCCACATCACACCTATCCGCTTCTTCCGGCCAAGCCGCTTATTAAGGCTCCTGAGATTTTAATTTAGAGTTGGCTGCGAGTTTTCTGCCTTCTAATTTACCCTCGGGGAGTGGAGGAGAGGGGTGGGGTGCAGGGAACATGGGTCCTCCTTCTCTGTGGCTACTTTGGTCTCTGGTGAAATGCCCGAGTGAAGCCTCTGCTCTCTGACTGCAACCAGGGTGAATCGTCCCCCTGTGTCTCCACAGTGATGGGACAGCCTCAGCTTAGGGGCTTGCTCCGGGCTGTTATTAGGTACCAGCATTGCTCCACCCCAAGACATTCATGTTGTGATTTTTAGGGATGTCCTGCCCAACACCAGGTGTTGGTGAGCTCATTGTAACTCTGTGATTCTGTGATTTGGGCTTTACACGACATTTCAACCTTATGTCTTGTGATAAGCAGAGGCAGCAGCAAAGCAAGCCAGGTGATTGATCAGGGGATGCTGCTCCCAGCCCTGCTCCCCGTGCAAACAGTCCCTGGCAGGTGGGAGAGGTGCTGGACCCTGCACTGGGGAAGCAGAGCAGGAGGGTCAGGCACATCCCTGCCACAGGGCTCCTGGTACAGCTGCTGCTCTGCCCTGCTGCAGTTCCAAGTGCCCTACGGGTGTCCAGCGCCCACCCAGCAGAATCCCTGGTGCATGGACAAGGGAGAGAGCCAACCCAGCCCAGGATGTGAGCAGGGTGGAGCCTTTCACAGCTGCAAACCTCTCACCGTGACAGGAAAGGAACAGAGACCAAAACATGCAGGAAAAGGTGGACAATCCACTCAAGCCTCAGTTTTTGAGTGCCCCCCATGAAAAGCCCCATGGAGCAGGAGGGGAGCTCAGTAAAAGCAAGAGAAAGCATCGAATTGTGCCTGCTGCTCAAGGAGAAGCTGTTGCTAGACAGAAGTAAAAGCTGTCGCCATCGGCTCCCATTGGCTCAGCCCCACTCCAATGACGGCCTTATCGGTTACCTGCACTCGCAGCTGGCTGGAAAAAACTCATTTGACAATGTTTTCCCTCTGATAAAAAAGCCCAGTGCTGGATTCATGGTTTGGGTTAATCATTGTTCAGGGGTTGTTGAGATAGCAGCTGAGTTTTCTGCAGATTCTTCAATTATCACAAATTTTAGCGTAAATGGTGAGCCAGCTCAGCTGTCCTTCTCCCGCCTAAAGACGCTCAGCCTCCCAACACGAGCTCCAGCAAGCTGCTCGTGAGATGAGCCGGAGCATGTGATGAGCTGGAGTTTGTTCAGCCATGGCAACTCCGAGCTGGCACGGAGGTGAATATTCACAAACACCTGTGAAAATCCCAATTAGCTCTCCGAGGCTGGAAATGGGGCGAGTGTTGCCACTTAGGTTATTCAGAGCAAACATTGTTGGCAGGGAGCAGATTGCCACCACCTCTAATCATCCATGTGAGGTCTGCTCAGCAGCAGCCCTATTTTGGGGGGCATCAGTACACAGTGTTGGGGTTTGCCAAGCCCTTCATATCTGATGCAAATAGGGATTAACCCTCAAATTTGTTTCTCACCTTCCTCAAGAGTTGGAGATCATGGCATAGAAGCAAAGCCTGCAGGGAATGACAGCACCAAAGGGCTGCTGGCCTTTGGCTGCCTGACTGCCTCCAAATTTGCCTCCAAAGCAGGGGGGGTATAATCAGGCTTAAATCAGTGTATGGTCAAGATTTTGGGAATGGTTTTTCTTTTTCCTTAATTAGGCTGATGGCAAGGCAGCCTGAGTCACAAGCTGGTAAAGCCTTCTCCACGTTCACCCACCATACCCATCTCACATTGACCATCACAGGGTGAAGTGCAAGGCACTGAGATGGGGGCTGGAGAGGCAACAGGCTGGGGCTCAGGTGGACAAATGATTTGGGAGCCATGGAGTGCCCCATATAAGTTCTCCACAAACCCATGTACACCCCGAAAGGATCTGGTTACACGGGCCAGGTTATATGGCCATGAGCAAAGCTCTGCTCTGTCCTTCCTCCAGATCTGCTTTCCTAGGGGCAAAGACAGCATTGCTGCATCACTTCTGGAATGCCACCATCTACTGACAGTGGGATGCAGAGCTTTCACCTTTCCTTCAGCTTTGCCTCCCTCCTGCTGTCCCAGGAAAGGTGGAGATGGCAGAGAGGAGGAAACAGACCTGCACCCACCATGCTCCTCCTGCACCCCTCTGTGGGTCCTGCTGACATTGCACAGCTCAGCTGAGCTGCACCCTGAGCTGGCACAGGCCAGGTGCTGCTGGCCCTGTTTTACACCCTGCTGCATCAGGAATGCACCTGGGACAAATGGAACAAGCAGGATTAAAGGCCTTCCACGGGGCCACGTTTCCTTTCCTGTCCGGACCACAAGCTCACGGCAGAGCCCAGGTTATATCTTTTGAAGGATGGTTGCTTGGGCCACTGTGAGGACAAAGATTTTTAGATGTGTCTGACACATTTCAAAGCATTTCTGAGCTGTTGCTGGCTTCCTCTGCCAGGCAGGGAGGAGTTAAGGTGGGAAGTGCAAGATGTGTCTGGTAATGGCACTGATGTGTGCGTCAGGTGTGGCTGCGTCACCCGGCTGCCTTGGCCGCTTCCCAAGGCTGGGGCTGAGCTCTCCTTACCTTCCACTGGCTGCTGGTCTAGCCTGGCTGACAGGGTCATGGACTCCATTCCAGGGCTGGCTGTTGTACCCCCTGTGCTGCACCAGGACCCCCAAAGTTCCCAGGGTGCTGGCAGCCCTCCAGCCTGCTCTGCCACCTCCCGCCTCACAGCCCAGGCAGGGGGACTGTGCTCAGGGGATGCCCCCAAGGGCTGTCGTTAAGGCACGTTGTGAAAAAATATCAATTTTCTATAACTGTGGCTGCTCAGCTCCCTGGTGAATCAAGTCACTCCCCGTGTCCAGCCCCAAACCCCTCTCTGGTGCTCACACACCTGGCTGGGTCACATTTCTGCAGCCACAGATATCTACATGTCACCTACAGGCAGTCACTGCAGATGGGCATTACCCTGTCCTCTCACTGTGACAGCAGCCCATGCCACAGCTCAAAACATTCCCACAGTGATCTTGCTCACAGACCCTGGGCTCTGGCTGAGCCCATCCCCTGCTTCTCCTGCCTTCACTGGGGTGTCCCCAGAGCAGAGGGGACAAGCCTGTACCCCAAGGAACTGCTTACTCCAGCCACTCAAAGCACCTCTTCCAGTTCCAGGTGGGTTTGAAGCCCTAGAACGTGGCACGCTACTTGGGCACTCGTTTGCCAACCTCATCCCTGCCCTCTCACTCCTGGAAAACTGCCAGATCAAATCATGCAGAATATACACAAGGGGTTTAGCCAGAACAGTTTTTAATTCAGAATTGGACAATTATGTGAATAATTTATTTTAAATGAAGTGCATTCTACGCTCTTGTCCAAGCTGGACATTGATTAGACCCAGACTTTCCTCTTGAACTTCATTGTGCAGTTGGATCCCTATAAATCTATGGGGCCTGATGGGATTCATCCAAGAATCCTCAAAGCGCTGCTGATGTCATTACAGAGCTGTTCAACTATTTTTGAGCAGTCTTAGGAATTCAGAGAGGTCCCAGCTGACTGAAAGCTGGCAAATGTTGCCCCAGTTTTGAAGGGCAAGGACACTGGAAACTACATACTGTCAGTCTCACTTCTCTGACAGGTAAAATGATGGGAAGTATTTTCTGGGAGGTATTGAAAACCACCTGGAGCACAATGCAGTCAGTGGTCACAGCCAGCACGGCTTCATCAGGGCAGAGCCCTGCTCGCTGAACCCGATTTCCTTCTACAACAGGGCTTCCACCTAGCTAATCAAGGGACACCAGGTGATGAAATCTTTTTGGACTTAAGCAAAGCTTTTGGTAACAGTATCAGAGTATCGTTCTGGACAAAATATTCAGCACACAGCTGGAGCCGAGCACTGGAACAGGCTCCCCAGGGAAGTGATCTCAGCACCAAGCGTGTCTGAGTTCAAGGAGTGTTTGGACAAAGCTCTCAGGCACATGATGGGATTCTTTGGGCATCCTGTGCAGGGCCAGGTGTCAGACTTAACAATCAGGATGGATACCTTCCAACTCAGCATATTTCTATGAAAGAAAGTGAGCAGCAAACTGGTTGTTTACTGGTCCAGATGGTTTTCAGCCCTTGGACTTCAGCAATACACCTCAGGCCCTGCACAGGAAAACCTGCTCCTTGCTGTCTGGGAGGACAACCCCACAGAAGGCATGGAGGGTGTTGGTAGCCCCCATTACATGCCCACAGAGGCTCCTCCAGGCTGACACAGGACCCTGCTCATCCCCAAGTGACAGATGAACACAGCACAGTACGGCCCTTATTTCTGTGTGACAGCTCAAGGCTGCAGACAGCATTTTTGGGAGACTGCTTGTGTCCAGGTGTCACCACGTCTCCATCCCTGAGCAGAGCAGTGCTGGGCACCAGCCCCAGAGGAGGAGGTCAGCAGTCACCTCCACCTTGAACAGCTGAAGGCACCAGGAGGAGATGCTGTCCCCCATCACAGGCTGCTCACCATCAGCTCTGTGGGCCAGTACTGGTCATCCAGGTAGTGGCTGCTGTCTGCAGCGGGGTCTGTGACGGGGCTGGGGGGCCGGGGGGGCAGGCTGTGGGCCAGGTCCTTCTCCCACTGCACCTCCACCAGTCTGTACAGCTCCATGGCTGTCTGGGCGTCCTCCACCGACGAGTGTCCTTTGCGGCCCACCTGAGGAAAGGGGAAAAAGCCTCGTTGGGTAAAAGGGGCAGCAAAAATCTCACAGGTCACGTCGTCTGCTTGCTTGGAAAGACACAAGTACTGTGGGTTTTGGAGACAGCAAAGGTTTGATGTAGCCAAGGTGTCATGGTTTGATACTGGCACAATTCCATACAAGTATCTCTTCCACCCTTTTTGGAGGGCACAGATGCTGTCCCTGTTTTACTGAGATACTTAATTGTCAGCTTGGGAGGCCCTTGGCTCTCCCAGATTATTTATAGGCAGGAGCACGGGGTGAACAAGGTTCATCTCCACCTCACACACAACTGACCACAGAGGTTCATAGATAACCCAAAGCTGTTTCTCACCATCTCAGAGCTCCTGGTGCTTACCTGGATATTTTTATGGAGCAGGTGCCTGGCCAAGTTCTTGAGGGAGACATTGGTTCTGATGGGCAGCCCTGCCCTCTTCTTCAGTGCAGGGCTCTGGCTGGTGTCTCGAGTCCTGTCTTTCGGGTGGAAGTACTTCAGGGCTTGGAAGTCATTGTGGATGGCGTGCCCTACCACAATCTTGTCTTTCAAGATCTTCAGGATCTGGAAGAGTCACAGAAGGTTATACAGACACTGCAGTGAAAGAAATACCAAGTGAAAAATAAGCCATTTTGTATTAAATTCAGCTCCTTGCCTTCTAGTTTTTAGGCTCCCAGAAGGAACAACAAGCAAGCAAACCAACCCACTGCACAGCTTGAGGCTCCCATTCCTGTGTTGTGTCTCTGCCTCAGAGCAATCTAGCACAGGCCACCAAGAATCCCAATTTATTTCTGACAGATAACACAGAGGCTTTTAAAAAAATTTCTTTTCCTCTGACCTCAGCCTGGGCAGCCTTGAAGGGAATTGCATTCTTCATGTGCTGCTTGGTGATGCCACTCCAGCGTGTCCGGTAGTCCACGATGGGGAGCTCGGGCCGGACGTACTTGTCATAGATGACGTCCCCCTCGTAGTTCACCACGGAGCAGCGTGCCAGCTCGCTCACCTTACCCTGAGGACCCGTGCCCACCATCTCACAGTCGATGGCCACGTACTTGCCCGGCCGCAGGACCAGGGAGGACATCTGCATCCTCTTGGCGCTGCCATTCCCCTGGGACAGCAGCACGGAGTGGTGCCTGGCTATGCTGTCTGGAGAGGCAGATGGAGGCAGGGATGAGGACACGGTCTGCTGGGGCTTGGGGACCCGGTCACAGCGCGGTGCCGCGGTGCCATGTGCCTTGGTGAGTTCAGGGTGTGCCGCCAGCCCCGCCTCGGGGGTCTCGCTGCCCGGCTGCCTGTGGGGGCTCAGCAGCCCCCTCTGCTCCAGCACTGCCCGACGAGCCATGAACCGCTGGTGCTTACGGCTCCTCTTCTTGCTGCGACCCTGCGGCGAGCCGGGACCCTTGGGGGCCGGAGCGCAGCCGCCATGGGAGCCCTGCAGGGTGGGCGCGGAGCCCTTGGGGGCGGGCAGCAGCGGGGTCATCTGTCCTTTGCCTGGTGGCATTCCTGCTGGAGGATGCACAGGGGGCCATGAGAGCCGTGCGGACCCCGTGCTCCCCTCCCTGCGGGGTGGCACAGGCAGGAGCCGCGGGGCAAGGGAAGCGGGGGAGGGGACACGGACACACTGTCGCACCCTGAGACACACCACGCCTTTGCCCCTTCATTGCCTGGTTCCACACCGCCCCATTCCCGGCCGCAGAGCCCTGCCCACCCCTTCGCCGATCCGCAGCCCCCTGCCCACCCCACTATCCCCTCTGCCCCCCGCACGCCATACTCCCTAGGGCCCTGTCTGCCCATTACCCGGCCCTCTCTAACTCGCTCCAGGCCCCAGCTCCCCGCCAGCCGCGTTACCCATCCCCAGACCCCTGCCAGCCCCACTGGGCCCCGTGCCACCCCTGTGCCACCCCCGTGCCACCCGGTGCCACCCGGTGTCCCCGCCGCTGACCGCTCCCGCTGTGTCACACGTGTCCGGCCCGGAAGCCGCCGCGGCACATGCCCGGGCAAGTCCCGCCGCGGCCACGCCCCCCGCCTCCCCATTGGCTGCTCCGAGATCTAATTTGCATATAGAGGCGGGGCCTCGCCCGTCCCTGAGGGTGGTGTCGGTGCGGTTTTGGGGGGTTTTTTTGGGTTTTTGAGGTTTTTTGGCAGTCCGCACCCGGCGCTTCCAGCGCACTCTGGTGATGCTCAGGGCTTCAAGCCTGTCCCACCTCTGCCCCTGGCGCAAAGGGACCCTCGGTGCGGTGGGTCCGGGCTGGGATGCGCGCTGCGTGCCCAGCCCCGCACGGATGCGCTGCGCTGCTCCTGCCTCTCCCCTGTTATGAACAAAACAGCCTGGCTGGGACACTTGGCTTGGGCTAAGTACTGACATTGAAATGTTAATTAGCTAATTGTTCCTGGGAATCACCTACCTCCCCCCACCCTCACTACCATTCTAGGACTGGGATGCAAAATAATCCAGTGGGATCATAGGAGGGGGTTTTGGGGATGAAAAACACCCCTAAATGGAAAAGATGGGCACACTGGAGGGGGCTGGATGGGTGTGCTAGTTGGGGAAAAGGGAACCCCATCCCTAGTCTGTGTTTGACCTGTCACCATAACCTACAGAGGACCAGACTGGACTGGGCTGTGGGAAGCAGGAGCAAAGCAGACACACTTCGTGGTGTTACCAGGAGAGAAGGAGAGGGACAGCTGCTGCTGGGCTTCGGCAGCCGGCTCTGCACATCCCCTCACCCTTCGGCTACCAGTGTGCCAGGAGGAAAGGAGAGAGGACGGTCTGCTGGAACTTCAGATACGGACTGCACACCTCTTCACCTCCAGCTACCAGCGTGCCACGGGGACTCCAGGGACAGACTCTGCATGCCTGCTCACCCTTCGGCTACCGGAGAAGCGACAACAGCGGGGGTGAGCTCCTTGTTGAGCCCCCTGCCGAGCTGACTTTTTAATAAAGAGCTGACTATTAATAAAGGCATAGGCCCTGTTCATTTCATCCCCTTGTCCTGCGGGTGGGCTGGGCTGCAGCACGGCAGTTTGGGGCTTGCGTCCTCCAGGCTCTCCCAGGATGCTGCCCGGACTTGTGGAGGGCAGCTCCGGCTGGGGCATGGTTGAACGGGGGGGTTTCAGACCGGCCTCGCGTTGCTTCGCTCTCAAGGCTCACAAAAGCAATGTCCGAGGTGGTCAGAAGAGGAGAAGGGCCGCAGGCAGCCCCAGCCACCGCCTTGTCCCCAGCGTTCAGCGTCGCTGCAGAGGCCGTGTGCCCTAGGGCAGACTGTGACTTGTTGTGGTGGGATGAGCCATACAACAACAAAATCACTAGTCTTCCACAGGGAAGCAGGCACCGTGTCCGTCCTCATCCCTCTGGGCCTTGCTGGGAGTGTTCTCTCTCCCTGCTACCGATGGGGCTCGCAGGGATGCAGGACAAGTGTTTGCACACTCCACCATTCTCCCTTTCCACCACCCATTAGCTTCTCTAGCCTGGTAAGAAAGGAATGATTTTGATTGCCCTGTGACTTATTTTTTCATACTCATTTTCTGGTTTTCTTTTGGTCAGTAAACCTCTTCCCTAAATCAGTTGCTCCATATTTTGCATTTCTTGCTTCCATCCCTTCTGTTCAGCTAATTAATTTCCCTTTAATGAGAGTCATTCAGGTGTCTCACAATATCTTGCTAGGGAGTCCTGTCAGGTCTCTGTGTAGAAATTTATACTCATTTCTGGTGCTTTTGTGAAAGTGTGCATTACAGCTCTTGGAGAGGGTTCATTTCATATTCCTGGGCCTCTCCACCCTGTTTTTCTCCCTGTAAATGAGGTGTGAGCTCACTATCACCACACAAGTGGGAGCAAACTCGAGCCTTGCTGTGAGGGACATGGGCTTGCATTTCTCCTCTAGCTCTGGGTGGATAAGGAGGTGGTGTTGCTGCCTGCTCTTCTCCCTCACACCCTGCATTATATGAGGAAAGACTCAAGTGCCTGGCAGAGAGCTTCTCCCTGGACACATTGCTGTTCCACTCGTGGGTCTGATCACTCTTGGCTTGTCCACAACAAACCGATCCATGTTCCTCCTGTTCTTCCCAGGATTTATAGTTTGCATTCTCTTTGAGAGTGCAAAGTTTTAGCTGTACCCTCATGACTACAAAGCAACCTCAACAGAAGAAATTATGGTGTGTGGGGAGGAAGAGAAAAGCTTTTCCCTGTTTTCCAAAGTGACCAGGCTTGGGAAACCAGATAGTCCAGGATGCAAAGGAACAGTGCTATAATTTTTTTTCTCCTTACCCCACATACAAAGATGGAAGTGAAAAAAAGTCAAAATATCTTTGAAAGATAAGTCAAAATAACTTTGAAAGTGTGCTGTGACCTCCTGTGATCCCACTGACCCCATGATCCTCAGTAGATGGTTCTCCCACAGTAGGTATTTCTCCCTTTGGTAAAACCCTTGTGTTGAACAGGGATGCTACTCACCTCCCCAAGGTCCTGGGGCCATGCTGGGGGAGGATGGTTGGGCACCAGATGGTAGAAATCACATTTCAGATGTGGCAGATGAGCTGAGATGAAGGCAGAGTGCGCCAGAGCCCGGGAGAGGTTTCTGCGGTGTTTGCACAATTTGAAATAATAACGAAATCTGTAAAACTCTGGGTAGAGCACGACTAGAATAACAGGCTAAATTTGTCAGATGAATAATTTACTAGAAGTGATTGGCCGTGCTCCAAGTGAGATGAGCACCAGCCTGGTTCCAGGCTGAGCAGCCTGGGTGTCTCTGTCCTCAGCTGGAAGCTGGTCCCTCTCCTGCTGCCTGGTCATTGCTCTGCCATTAAAGCTGGTCTCTAGACAGGATGCCTTTCCCCAGGTCATCGCTGCCCAGGGCTGCAGGGATTCCTGCAGAGCTCCTGGTGCCCTCCAGAAGGTGTCTGCTCTTTATTTGCAAGGCTTTGCAGAGTGGAGGTGGTGGAAGTGGGTGTCTGTCTCTGGCTCCAGGCTCATGGACTCACCCATCCTCTGCCTCTTTCCTTCCTCCAGGCCATGGTGCAGAGCAGAGGGAGGAACAGACACATCCTGACATTTGGGGTGGGAAGGGAGATGAAGTCCCAGCGCTGAGAGGAGATGGCGACTGCAGCCTCAGCGAGCAATTAATGTGATCATGTTTATGAATGCGGATCAGTAATTCCAGGTAAACTCCCCAAGAGCAGTGCTGCAGGCGAACAAAGCCTCCTGCCCACCCAGGAGCCTGCCAGCAGGCCCTGCCTGTGCCAGCACATTCCTGCTGTGACTCTAAACTGCTTCATTTCCTCGTGCCAGCCTGAACATACATTGTTTTGTCTCCTATTACCGCGGTGCCAGAGCTCCTCTTTGCAGTCTTGGTTGCACCATGTCCTCCTGGACTTCTCTGTTCCCTCCCTGCCAAAGGAGATGATTGGTGGGAATGGAATAGGTTAACTCAGAGAAGGCAGCGAGGACCCAGCTTTGCCTCCAGGGGTGATGAGGGATCACTTCATCATCCTGGGCTCTGCGGGCTTCCTGGTGCCTCCCTGTCACCCACCTGTGGTTGGGGAACCTCACCAGGGCTCCCTGAGCTGCTCCCATCACTCTGAGTAGGCTTGTGGCAGGGCTGGTTTGTGCCCACCAGCATCCAGAAGATCAAACAGAAGCTGGGAAGGTCAGAAATAGGTTGGGGTAGTGATCAATTGCTGGACCTGATTTCCTTTAGAGTAAGGAAGTCTCATTGCGATGGAGCACCTGGAAATACCAGCACCATTCTTTGGTGCAAGGGCCCAGCTGGGGCAGGCAGTGCCGTGTGGCTGAGGTGTCAGCAGCCAGCAGTCTGAGGCCACCAGCACGAGGACGTCAGAACAGACAAGCACCATGTCACCCCTGACCTTTGCTGGGATGGGACTCAGAGCACTGCAGCCCTCTTGCTCCACAGCAGAGGCCCAGCACAGGGACTCCTGCAGGACCCCTCCATTGCCATGCTGAGATCCCCATCCTGAGCCCACCTGTGCAAAACCTCCAGGAGACTGTGTCCCTCCTGGCTAAGGACAGGGATGGACTGTGTGTGAGAGCACCTGAAGACTGCTCAGTGCTGGAAAGCTGTGCTTGGAAGGCAGAAAACCTTTTCCTTTCCCTCAGAGCACCAAGAACCTCCCTATTCCTCTGCCATCTCCTCCAACACTCCATGGGGATTGCCTGTATCCCTCCAGCATGGACAGACCTCCTCTCCAGTCATGTCCTGGGGGGTGTCAGTGCTCTGGGGGTGCTGCCGGGGATAAGGAGGATGGATGCTCCCAGAGCAGGAGGTGAGGGAGGATGATGCTGCCATCCATCTCCCCCCTCTCTCCCCATTTTCTGGCTCGCCCCCAGGAGAGCAGTGAGCAATTATGGTCCACACGGAAGCTTCATTATTGCCCTGTCGTGGCCTCGTTTGATGAGATGCTTTATTGCCAAACTTATTAAAAGTGAAACGTGCGCTTTCTGCGCAGCAATTTCCTGTCTGCAGCGATAAGCCGGGCTCTGCCCGCTGTGTAATAAACAGTTATTTTTATGTACAGCTCTGGCTGGGGTGGCAAGGAAGGGAGAGGGCCTGGTTCGTGTTAATTGCGATGGTTAATGGGATCTATCCTGGGAGCTACGTGTGAGGAGGTGTGTGCCCTTCCCCTGCTCTGTGACAGAGGTGCTCTCCAGCGGTTTTGTGCTCTGGGTGTTGGCAGTGGGGACTGTGCATAGGAACAAGAAGGCTTAGGCAGCTCTTCACCTGCCTCCTCTCAGTCCTCAGTCACAGCCTGAGCACGTGAGGGACCTGCTGTGCACCCCATTAGCGTGAGACTCCATCCCCTGCAAGGGCTGCCCCTCAGCTCCATTGATTGCACCCCTGCAGGAGCTGGAGGGAGCTCCAAAACCTGGGAGCTCCACTTCATCTTCCCCACATCCTCCCATCTGCCCAAGAGCCTCTCTGTCTGCAGTGGCATTTGCAGGTGATGCTGGTGGCCAAAGCCTGGAGCATCCACCGTGCCACCTCCCACTGTCCCTCCTTGGCAGCAGACAGGCGCTGGAGAGGAGACAGTAATTCAACAGGCACACTAATGCCACAGAAAACGTGTCACTGCTGAGCTTGGAGCAGCAAAACTCTGATAAATATCAGCAAAGCTGATAAATAGCGTTTCATTTTGTCATAAACAAAGTGTCCTCATTAGGTGTGCGGTCTGTTTTTTGGTTTAATTACATCTTTTAAATACATTTTGAAAGGAAGCAGCTTTTTAAAATGCAAGGTGTCAGAACTGCATTTACAAAAATCCTGATTGCTTTTTTATTCTTATTTTCCAGACCTGGCCAAAGCTATTAGTTCAACTCAAGCTGAAAGTGCATAACTTTCCCCAATAAACAATTTGTCAGAAAAATTCCTCCTGGCTCTGGGAGATCTGTTTGTTATTTGTCAGCAGTCAAAACCCTGTTGGGCATTTCCCATCTGACTTCTTTTCTTAACAGCATCTTTATTGGTCTGGGAATTAACAGCTGAAGATGTGATACTTGCTATTCATTACAGTCATCCCAAATGCCACTCATCTCATCAGGCCACGGCTCCACAAAGCAAAAGCCCCTCTCCTTTTCTTCAAGGCACCATTTTTGGGTAACCATAGGGCTTTTCATCCCAGATTTCTTCCCTTCATCCTCCTGATCCTGCAGCATGCAATGGTGTCCCCAGGCTTGGAGTCAACTCCCTATCTCCTGCATCCATCCCCATCCCTGCTGCCCATCTCAGCCTCTTGCTGGGCAAACTCCCTCCACTGCCAGCTCAGACCCTCATTAATTTGTATTGCAGCGTGTGTTGCGGGCTGACGTGTAATTAGAGCTCCTGAAGCCTGTCTCATGCTGTAATTGCCATGACAGGGGCCACAGCATATCCGCTTGTTAATTAGTAAACCACAATATCCCGGGGGCTCGTTGAGAGCCGCCTTAATTGTATTTCAGCTGGAACAGAGGGATAATTACCCTTTGCTAGCACTGCCACTTTTAAATTCTTTAAAAAAAAAAAAAAAAAAGAAAGAAAAGAAAGGAAAACCCAAACCAAGCTCCTCTGCTGCTTCCCCCTTTGGCTGCCCAGGGACCTGGTTTCATCCCCAGGCTGAAGGGGAAGGGCCGTGGAGCTCAGCAGTGTGGGAACAGGATGCCAAGAGATTTGCTTGGGGACACACTCAAACTGGTGGTGACTGAGCTGCCCCTGCTCCGAGGGCGCTTCTGTGTCCCTGCACACGGGACTCCACTGGGAACCCCGTTTGTGGATGCAGGCTGGCTTGCTGGGCTTGTTTGATGGGAATCCCATCCTGGACAGTGAGCAAGGCCCTGGCAT